AGAAATCCTGTCCACCACAATGGACACATTCTGGAGCACATAAGCAGTAGCTACAGTTATTACAGTATGCCTCTCCAGACCTCTTGACCCACCTGTGTGTGCTGCTGCTGTCAGGCCTTCATCAGAAACCAAAATAGGGCCTGTACCTATCTTTTCTGCTCATATCTGTGTGCCTACTGGCTTATCTCTAAACATAAACTCTGGCCAGCCTCTCATACTCTTAACCTTGTCCCGGTATTTCCACCTGGCCTGACAATCATCAATGAGATCAGCTTTATCCAGAGGACTCTCAGTTCTGATATAAACTGGCCATTAGCTGTAAACTATAATACACACACCGTTTTAATTCTGCCCCAGTTTTTACAGCACCCACTTTTTCTTGGCTCAATAATGAATTCTTTTTCTAAAACTTGGATGTGCACTTTAAGGTTCACACTGTCTTCAGTGAGATTGTTATCCTACAAAAATGTTAAAGCAGTGTTTTCAGATAACAAGAAATTTCCAGTTTACAAAAAAGCAGGCAAACTATGTAACTGTGTTTCTAATTTTTTTAGTGGTATATAAAAATTATAAGAATTCAACATTGAACCATCTTAAAAGCCACTCATTTTAGACATTCTTATAGATCTCTTTATTATATTAAAATATATACATATACTTATTTTTATTTATTTACAAAATAACTTGTAATTATTAGAAATAGGAACAACCCCTCGAATTCAACAAGGAAACTCAAAATGCATTCCGTGCTTCGGTACAGGATCTGCTTCCACTGTCTCTACATACATAACATTTGTCAAATTAATCTTCAAAAAGATATACCTGTATTTTTCGATCATGCAACTTTTTAAATTATGTCAACTTGTGATGCAAAAGGTTTATGAATCAGCAAACATAAAATCACTGAAATGAAAGTTCTTAGGGTAAATTCACATGAATTTGTGAAAAAAAAACAAACACCTATAATAAATCGAAATACTTTTTCTTGGTACACCAATGTCAAAAACTGTCTCCCTTAAAATGAGTTTACCTGGTTTAAAATATTCAGTCTCATATCATTTTCAGCATCTGTAAAAACAACAAATGAACGTGACATTAAAATAGTTTAAAATAACTTATTACCTCCTATATTAAACTAAGAAATGCAACCCAATTAAAACAAAGTATATTTATAAGCTTAATTAACAAGTGCTAACAGTTCCAAGTGAAGCGCATTTTTGTTGTTTTGTATTTCTATTTTTATTATACCAAAGAAATCATAATATAAATGCCAGTTAAAAACCATGTTAAGGGCCGGCCCGGTGGCCCAGCAACACTCCACACAAAGAAACCAGCAAAGGCAACAGAACAAAGAGACAACACTATTGGTTTCAGAAGCTATAGAAAGTTCAATATGGCTAAAGCTCAGAATGTGAGAATGGGAAGAGTGGAAACTAAAGAGGCAGACAAGGACCAGATCATGATGGACATTATATGTCCAACTAAGAAGTTTAGACTTCATCCTGAAGTTCACAGGGAGCCACAAAGTACTATAAACACAAGAACGGGGGCTGACCAGTTAGCTCAGTTAGTTAGAGCGTGGTATTAGAACACCAAGGTCAAGGGTTTGGATTCTCATACTGGCC